GGGGGGCCCTCCCTCGCCCCGGCTTTGCGCAAAGGCCCTGTGGGTGCCGGGGCGACGCACGTGCCGGGCAAATGCGGGGAAGAAACTGGGGGGTAGACTTGGCAGGGATGGAAAACGGACCGTGCAGGGACGGCACGAGAAGTCAGGAGGCGGGACTGTCACCCGGCCGCCCTGGATGGATGCGTCCCTGGTTGGAAACTGGGTTTCATGACTAGGTTCTGAGATAAAGCAGGACACACACCCCCCCATGGGTCCACTTGGATGCCTACCCGTGTCTTTTATTAAATCTCCATGTCAACCCTTTCCCCTCCCTCCTAAGGAGCCCTGGTGGCACCGTGGATGGATTATGCATCCGCTGCTCACCCCAAGGTGGCTGGTTCTAACCCATCAGCTGCTCCGCGGGAGAAAGGCGAGGCTGCCTACGAGATGTAAAGCCTCGGAAACGCACCCGGGCAGGTTAACCTAGGCCCTGTCTCCCTAGGGGCGGGAATGGCCAGGGTGGCATTGAAATTTGGGTTCTTTAGAAAGACTCCAGTGCTGCCCCCAGGGCAGGATTTCCTGGTGTGCCCTTTGCGAAGGACTCTCTCCAATTTTCAGGAACCCGAACCGAGTCAGCCGGTGATGGTACGATTCGGTAACCCGTGTTAGTGACCATTACAGCTATGCCCTCCGGCCCGCCGTATCCGCAGAGCCTTGCGTGGTCCAGGCTCCCACAAATCCCTGCCTCCGGTTCACGGGCCCCAGCGGTGTCTTCAAAAGGCGGTCACTAGGTCATCGCAACCTCCGCGGTTTCACCCTCGGAGGCCTGGGCCCGCACGGTGACCCCGCCAGGGACCCGCCTCCAGCGCAGGCCGCCACATCGCGCGCCCTCCCCGGCAGGGCGTCACCCTGTTTTGCTCGTGGTCGCGGGGCCCTCTGGCCCGCGTTGTAGGGGCGGCGCCCCCGGCCGGCCCCCGCCCCCGCCAAGGCCTATCAGGGACTGCCGCACACACCCCCCGCCGCGGCCAATCCGCTGCCGCCCTGCGGCCCCACCCCTGCACCCCTCTGAGGCCGGGACCCCGCGCCCCACTTGGAGGCTGCGGGGTCTGCAACCGCCCAGCCCCTCCTTTCTCAAGACCCAGGGGTGCGGGTCCCAGCATCCTACGCCCTGAGACCCAGCGGTGCAGGTCTCAGCCCACCTCCCACCCGGGGATGGGAATATGGCGCCCTCCGCCTTCAGACCCAGGAACCGGGGGGCCCCAAGCACCCCCTCCCTCAGATGCATGAATCCCGGACCCCTCCACGCCCGACACACCCCTTCTACCCAGGCCAGTTAGGACTCCTCTCCCCACAGAGCCCGGAATGAAGGGAACGCCGGCTTTCCCTCTTCTATTATCTCCCAATTAGCGCTTAATCCAGTCTCCCTTGCGGGCCTTTTAATCAGCGCTCAGACGGGGCCGCGGCTCAGCTTCCCGACGCCCCGCCCCCTCCGGAGTCTGCCCCGAGGCCTGCCGGGAGTTGTAGTCCTCCCGCGCCCGGGGACAAGCCTGGAAGATCAGCAAGCGTCCGGAAGCACTTTCACAGGGGTCCCGGGACTAGCCTTTCGACCGTAGCCCAGCTCTGCACCCCCAGTCACCAACAGCTCGATGCCGGTACAGAAGCTGGCCTCGGAGGCCAGGAACATGGCGGCGGCCGCCACCTCGGCAGGCTGGCCCATGCGGCCCAGGGGCTGGGGAGAGAGGCGGCAGAAGGGTGAAGGGGCGTGCTAGCCCACCCCGCACCCCCACTCTTCACCCCCACCCCTCCCGCTCCTACCTGGGCCAGCGTGCCTTCTTTAATTTCGGCCTTGGGGTCCGGAGCTGCGGCCGCCAGCTCCTGCCACAGCGGTGTCCAGATGTTTCCAGGGGAGATACTGTGGGAGGGGAGGAGGGGGGAAGATCATCAGGGAATTGCCCCCCAAAGTCTGGACTCTTGGTCTCACTCCTTGGGGGTGGGGGTGGGGGGTCTTCTGATCGATTTATACACTACAGTTGCCAAACATTGGGGGGTGGGTAAAGTCAAGAAACACCTGACACCTTGTTACAGAAGCGAATAAAGACAGCCAGGCTCTTGAGGGTGTGGGAACGAACGTTTGGGGTGGGTTTGAACATCCATCCCTTGAGTTGGTGGTTAGCGGGGAAGGCCTTGGTGTCTCCCAGGGGCCTGACTCACGCCCAGTCCTACCGCTTCCCCCCGGGAGCTTCCTGGCCTCTGGAGTGGCGGGGAACTCACCAATTGACCCGGACACCATGTCGACTCTCATCCAGAGCTAAGGCCTTGGTCATGGCTGTGACAGCCCCCTGCCGGGAAGGGAGACCAAGGGAGTTCAGATGGTGGCAGGCGGGCCTCATGCCCCTCCTCCCAGCCACAGAGGGTCCACGTGGCCAAGCACACTCTTTCTCACAGGTGGGCCTCCTCTGGATGCAGGAGGCTTGGTGTGTGTTGGGTGCTTAACAACTTGGTGCTTAATAACTTTCACCGAGGTCCTCCGGGAGGAATCTGGGACTCAGAGGGAGGACTCCCTGGTCCTGATTCTACGGCCCCTGGACGGGGGCTGGGTTACCTTGGTGGCCACGTAGGTAACTGCCTGGAGCTGGCCGATTGCTCCCACCAGGCTGGAGATGTTGATGATATTCCCTTTACTCTTCCGCAGGTGAGGCAGGGCGAGCTGGGGGCAGGTGATGAAGGAATAAGTTACCCAAACCCTTGCTGGTGTGTCCCTTCCCTGCCCCTGCACCCCTGAAATACAGGCACATGTGACCATGTTCTGGGGACATGCTCCTAGTTGGTACGGCGTCTCTCAGGGACAGGGTGGAACCCAGAGCTCTTCGGTGTCTGGTGTCTGCTTTCCTCAAGGGCTCCTCTGCTGGGTATCTGCTCCACCATCTCTCCTTCGGGTTCTTTATCTCCCCACCCCCTCTGGTCCTCCTCTCTCTGAGTCTGTCCTCTCTGATCTCTGTCCCCCTAGCTCTCTGGGTCTCTGTCCTCGCTCTTTGATCTCTGACCCTCTCTCTCTCTCTTTGGGTCTCCACCCCCCTCTCTCCCCACCTCTGCCCCCCCCCCCCCTTTATAGGTCTCTATTCCTCCTGCTCTGGGTCTCTGTCTCCTGTCTCTCTGGGTCTCTGTCACCCCTTCCCTCTGAATTTCTCTCCCTCTCTCTCTGGATCTCTGCCCCCCCTTTTTCTCTGGGTCTCTGTATCCCCCTCTCTCTCTGGGTCTCTCCATTTCCCAACCCTTGTCCCCAGCAGGACTAGAAAGCATGGGTGTGGCTCTGGAGCTGAAGGCTTTGCAAACACAGAGAACCCCGCAGGGCGGGGGCGCTTATCCGTGGATAGAAGTCCGGTCCTCTAAGGTTCCCTCCACCCTCAGAGGTGAGGGTGTGGGAGCCCCCCCCAACACACCCCATTTTATGCCAGCCTCCCCTCTGCACCTCCCTCCAGGTCCCTAAATTCTCTCTGTTCTCGGCTTCCTTTTGCCTGTGCACATAACAGTGAAGATAGTCCGATGCTCCGCTTCCAGCCCTTTACACAAGCTAGGCAGCCACGCTGCTGGCCCAGGCGAGCTCCTGCCACGGACTCAACACCACCCACCGTCATCCAGTGGGTTCTGACCCATAGGGACCCCATAGGCTAGGCCAGCGTAGAACTGCCCCTGTGGGTTTCCAAGGCTTGAAACCTTTAATATATACAATATTTTTTATTGACATTTCTAACTCCTTCCAATAGCATTTCTATCCCTTCCCATACAGTTCTGTTGTCAATCCCATCAGATGGGGCTTTACAATCATCCATGCTATCAACTCCTCTCCCTCCCCACACACATACTCACTTCCCCTACCCTCTGGGAACCCTTACTCCTGTTACTGTCTCTGGGGGGGGTCCTCTATCTTGACTTACATGTACAAACTAACATACGCAAGTTTAACCGACCAACGGGGTCTATCACGTACGGACCATCATAGTAACGGAGGAAATCTTCAAGAACTAGAGGAATAGTTATGTGGCTCATCACCCCACAGCACCCTGCATTCATCCTCCGCTCAAAGCCCGAACTCTTGATGGGAGAAGAAAGCCTCATCCTTCTCCCTGGGAGCAGTTCCTTGGTTCGAACTCATGACCTTGGAGATAAGCAGCCCCATGCATACCCACTAAGCTACGGGGGTGGGGGTGGGAGTGGGGGTAGGGGTGGAGATGGGGGCTCCTTCCAGTTCCTGCCAGTAAGGATTAAGGACCTTGGGCCAGCCAGCCACCTAGGGGTTCTTGAGGCAGGGATCCCTATAAATTCCCTCTCCAGCTCCCCACTGCTGGCAAGTGGATTTGGCCTCACAGTGACCTGATCCAACAGAGGAGAAATGACCCCTACGGGGTTTCCAAGACCCTATGGGTGGCAGAATTTTCTCCTTTTTCTCCAGAGAAGGCTGGTGGCTTCAAACTCCTGACCTCTCAGTTGTCAGCCCAGCACTTGACCCAATGCTCCACCAGGACCCCCCACCCCCTCAGAACCCCCCACCCCATGTTTCTTAGTCGCTCGATGTGATTCAGCGTGTGTGGTTTACCCAGCATTCCACCCACCTCAGGAGCTCTGGTGGAGTAGGGGTTAAAGTGCCCAGGGACGTGGGTCCAGAGGGAGGGAGGGCCGGGAAGCAGATAAGCTTCCAGTGGGTCCTGGGTGGAGCTAGGTGACCTTGGGATAAGGAGATGCTAGAGGCTCAGGCGTTCCTGGGAGGGTCAGTCCAGGTAGGGGCTCTTTGAACCGCCTGGACCTCTCAGGTGAGTTGGAAGGAGGGATCTCTGTCCTCTACCTGTCTCCTCAGAGAGGCCCTCCACCCTCTCCTTCCCCAGCAACCAGGAATTGCTCCCCACTCCCCACACCCCCTCCTTACATTTCTCCTCTGATTCCTCATAGCTACCTGCCCAGCTACTTATTAACTCCCTCCCCACCTCCACAGGTCCACGTGAGGTCCCTGAGGGCCCGGGCACGGTTTGGTGAACCGGCCATACAGTTGACGCTTAAGAAATATTTGTCTCTCATGCGCTCCTTGCTGCCCTCCCACACGTTCCTGGCAGGCCTCTCCTCTCCCAAGGTCACACCCAGTCTCCCACAAAGTCCCACCAGAACAGTGGTTCTCAGCCTTCCTCATGCCTCGGCCCTGTCAAACAGGTCCTCCTGTGGTGGGGACCCCCAACCGTAGCATTATTTTCGTGGCTGCTTCCTCACTGTCATGTTGCTCCTGTGATGAATCCTCCTGTCAATATCTGAGAGGCAGGATGTGTCTTCCTTGCTACCAATGGAACATCATGAAAGCAACGTGATTCATCCCAAAAGCAATAGGTCATTATAGGTGGTGAAATAATTATTTCTAATGACAAACCAATGAAATTTTGTCTTGAAGCATGGTGTAGCCTGGGTAATAGTCTTCACATCGGGTACTCGTATGGGGGCATATCTGCATGTGGGTGGACCACCTGGAGACAGCTAGAGGAGGGGTGTCTCGGTTCCTAAGACCACCAGGAATATGTGTTTTTGATGGTCTTGGGCAACCCCTGTGAAAGGGTCAAGGGGTCGAGACCCACAGGTTGAGAACCACTGCACTAGCGCCTATCTGCCTACTCTCCCTCCCTGGCCTGTCTCCCTCCCGCCCTCTCTCAGATACCAACCCCCCACCCCCACCATCCTGGAAGTCTCTTCCTTTTCACTCTGGCCAGCACCCCTAAATGATGGGGTTCCTGGACCAATATGGGGGACACCCCCAACTTGGTTTTGTTTCCCACCAACCAAACCCTTTGCCATCAAGTGGATTCTGACTCATGGCGAGCCCACAGGGCACAGGGTAGACAGTGCCCCCACAGCGTGGCCGTGGCACTTCGTGGTGCATACCTACGGCAGGCCCGACCCAGAGTCTCTGCAGCACCCCCCTGCGCGTGTGGAAGCTGGACAAAGAATAAACTCACTGTCGTACAGTCTACTCTGACGCCCAGCCCAAGGGGGCAGAAGAGAACGACTGTCCCCGGGGCTTTCCGAGAGAGTGTATTTTTTTTTAAGGATTAGATCTTATTTGTCTAAAGACAAATAATACAAATAATGTGTGAGAGGGAGAAGACACCACCACCACCATCCACATTCAAAAAACCAAGGAAGGCATTTTTGTCCCAGAACATGGAAGAGATACTTTTGCACCCAGATCAAATTCGGGTCCCGTCTACAGGGAGGTCCACTGGCCGAGTATGGAGTTCGATCCAGCACCCTCAAGATGACAGTGGCCTCTGTCTGACAGGAAGGCTGTTGGAGACGCACGCCTGTGGCTAGAGCGGATCTGCCAGTCTGAGGAGATGCTCTGAAGAGGGGTCTGGGGCTCCCACCGTCCCCCAACGCCTTCTCCAAACTGGGTGTGAGCCTGTCGCTCTTGATGAGATCAGAAAGGCTCAGCTTTCTCCCACAGAGCAGCCGGCGGCTCTCACTGCTGTCCTCTGGGCTCAGAGCCCAATGGGTCACCACCACGCCACCCCCAGGGCGCTGAGAGAATGGGTGCCTTCGAATGAAGGTGTTGAAGACTATGGACAACAAGCCGGTGTGTCGTGACAAAGCCCAGCCAGAAAGCTCCTTACAAGAAAGGACAAGGAGGCTTCATCTCCTGGACCCTGGACCTATGAGTCAGGGAGGGCCAGTCCCTGGCACAGGACATCAATCAGAGGGTCAATGGAAGAAACAAACAAAAAAAAAAGAGCCCGCAAGGAGACAGACGAACCAACCAGAGGTTCCCCAAATGGACCGAATCAGCACAAGGAAGAAGAAGATGGTCAGGGCCCAGCAGTGGTTCCGTTAGGTAGCCAGATTCAGGGGCAAGGAGGGGAGGCTGTCCCTCCCATGCCTGCACAGGCCCCCTAGAGGAGGTTGGAGGGAAATCAGGCGACCACTAAACACCTATCAAGACCTTCACTGAGCATGCTCAAATTCAAGGACCCAGCCAGGTGGGAGGCACACCTGGGCGGACCAACTTGGGGATCGGGAGAACATCACCCAGGTGGGCTCAACACAGCCAATGGGGTTAACCAATACCTTCAACCCCACCTTCCCCAGCCAGGGGGTGGGCCAGAATAAAGGCAGGAAGCAGCTCTGGGGCTTCCTCTTACTCTCTTCTACCTGCTCCTGGACAGAGGCAGGTGGGAGGGTGGAGGACACCCACCCACCACGGCCTGGGCATGCCCCCGAAGGACCAGCTCTGGGCCTACTTGGGGCCCACAGCCTCTCTCTTCCCCCAGGGCTCTCTCTGGCCCCAGTCTTCCTGCCCTTTTCTCCCTCGACCCCTGGGCCCCTGGGATCCCTCCCCCAGTTCTGCACGTGGGGGTGCACTGTCCTGCGAGGTTGCAGTGACCAGTCGTGAGCCTCCGCGCGGCTTCCCTGAAATAGCGCGTGCTCTTTCGAGACGCTGAAGTCTGAAACCTCTCCCGTCCTTCATCAAAGCCCACTTGGAGGACAAGACAGGCTTCGCTGTGAGTGCTTTCTTTTGCGAAGCCAAGAACCGAGGTCTGACCCACTCCAGAAACCTTACAGCAGGGGTCCTCAAACTTTTTAAATGGGGCCAGTTAGTTCACTGCCCCTCAGACCCATTGGAGGGCCGGACTATGGTTTAAAAAAAAAACTATGAACAAATTCCTATGCACACTGCAC